TACTGCATCTGGCCGGGTTCTAAAGATATGCTCTCCCCGGTCTGACAACCCCAGCTGAGGTCATCCCCCACCTCTCAGTATTCAACAGCCAACAAATGCCATTCAACAGAAAACGTTGGCAGAATCATCCTTGGCGGTGCCCACAGGGAACCAATGGACTAAGCCATTTACCAGAAAAGCGGAGTCACCAATGGGTTCAGGAACTGGCTGCAGAAATGGGAAGATATTCTCTCAAGGCCTTGTCTTACAAGTACTGGAGGTGCTCTTCCGGGTGCTTGCCAGAGAGCCAGGGAAGATAGAAAGTGCCTAGGCGTCATGCCGATCTCTGGCTCCAGTTTTATCTTCACCAGTGCTCCGAGGTATTCCCTCCACACTACAGGTGAGGAGACAGAGGCTGCAAGGGTCCAGGTCCTTGCTCCAGGTCAGAGTGCAAGGCAAGCACCATGCCCTCCTCCCACGGGGACACCTGTACTGCAGTTTAAGAACCAAGGATGCACTGAGGATAAAAGAACATGAAAGTGCCGGAGAAACTCAGGCAGGTCTCTCCCAAAACTCTGTAGCATGTTTACAGGATCAAAAAGAATAAAAAGGTTCCAAGGTTAATTAAGTCAGGAAATGCTTGGGAGAAACCGGGGTCTCTGCTGCAGGATTTCGCTTGGCCTTTAATGTGGTAATATTGGATTAGAGATCGCCAAGAGGAGAATATGAGGGATTTTTTTTTTTTTTGAGACCTTGTTACTTAGAATACACTCAAGAGAAAGCAGGGCTAAAGCTTTAAGTCCTTAAAATCACAATTAGGAGCAGAAAAATGTCTCATATTCTGGACACACTGGCTGATCTGCCCCAGGTCCTTGTCGAGTGCGGAGTGAAGGGGTTTGGCGGTTTGACTCTGGCCCTTGCAGCGCTTGGCCCATCAGAAAGCAAGACCAGGACTGGACCCAAGGGGCAGAGCCTGGAGCAGAGTTGGGAGGTGGACAGACCCATCCGGAGGCTGGGGGCTGCAGAGCACGGGCGGGCTCCAACACGCGTGGCCCAGTGCAGTCGGTCTCTGCATTTCCAGGGGCTTTACCCACGGCCGCTGGCTGTGTCCCCTCTACTTCAGCACTCATAAGCACCCCATGTGAACACGAGCGGAAGGACCCAGAAGCTGTAGGGCAGTGTCCTAGAGTTGCTTGGGACCCCGGGGAGCCGTCCATCTGACATGTTGTGTATCCACGTCCCTGAGGCCACAGGCTGAGCTAGGCTGAGACCTACTGCCCTTCTCCCAACTTTCAGTCCACTGTTCCCCCCTCCCCCCGCTGCATGATTTAGGGCCATTCTTTTATTTGAAAAAACTGTACCGAGTGTTTTCAATGCATAAAACACTGTATTTGGAACAGTTTATTTCTGTAATTATTTCCCACAAGAGACCAGAATATAACTCAAACAGGGTTTTTGTTGGTTCACTGATGGGTCCCTAGAGCCTGGTACATAGTCTGTGTTGCTGAATTAACCTGTGTGGAGTTAACAGGTGATGGGCACCTTTGTTGTTGTTGCTGTTGTTATGTGCCGTCGAGTCAGACCCGACTCATAGCGACCCCTCTTTGGGTTGCCAAGGCAGTATCACTACAGAAGTAGACTGCCCATCTTCCTTCAAGGAGTGGCTGGTGGGTTTGAACCGCCAGCCTTCTGGTTAGTAGTCAAGTGCTTTAGGCACTGTGATACTGGAGCTCCCAACGGGCATCTTTAGTGGACTGCAAATACATTGCTCAAAGCCCTGCTGACCACGAGGAGGCAGACACAGCACGACCTGCTGTGTGTCACAGCCCTGGCAGGTAAGGGCTCAAGAGTGGCGCCGGGGGGTGCTGGCAGGTAGTGGGGCTGCAGCACTCTGTGTAAAGCAGCAAAACAGAACTCAGCGAGAAGAAAATGGGTTCTTTGGACCTACTTTGGCCCATTTGTAATGCTGCCTTTGGAAGAACAGATAGGGGAACTGGTCGGGTGGTCTGACAGACTGATATGGGAAGGCTCCTGACAGTTACAATGGGTGAATTTTAGGGCAGAGATGCTGTTCTCTTCCTAAGAGGTGGTTAACAGCTGACACTATGTAACACTGCAATGCCCCCCTTTAAAAAAAAATCCTCTAACTTTAAAAAATGAAAGAAAGAAAAAACCCAACTTAACTCATGTTTGGATCAGCCCTGTTCATCAGTGACAACTGTTCTGTGTCCTGCCCAGCAGAACATTTTCAATAACAGCTTCTGAGCAGATGTCACCCAGTACTGCCTCTTTTGTGACATGAAACAAATCCACTCAAATACCAACAGATTCAACTGTATAGCACCATTCCAAAATACTAAACTTTCTTTGCACCTTTATTTTTGTCTTTTTTTTTTTGTACACATTTAAAGTATGGGCATCCTGTAAATTTCCAAAAAGCCTCATAGAAAAAAAACAAAACAAAAAACAAACAAAAAAAAAATACCCAACTAATTTTTAGGACAAAGCAGTAACTCAGTCTGTAGGCAAGATGACCTTGAGCAGGCCGTGAGGTCCTCACAGGTTTCCGTCAGTCTGGATTCAGGGTGAGAGTGGAAAAAGGATGCTAGCGTCTTCCCAGATGACTCTAGGAGACCATGCTCAGTATAGAAGACCTGCAAGTTCAGTGGTCAGGCTCCAAGGAGGTTACAACTCAAACCATGACAACCAGTGTCTGTAAGGACTTTACTCTCTCAACTGCCATAAAGTATCGGGCTATTAGGCAACTTCAGAGCTTGGACACACCTTTTATTCATAGTCTGTAAGCAAGAAACTAGAATAATACTGAATTTCCTTACATCTCTCTGTACTTTAAGCTTGGAGCACTAAAATCTGTTCTTTGCAGATTATTTAAAAAATTATAAATGGGTTTTTAACTCAACATGTACTTGGTCGCATTGTTACGTGAGACGCTGTTTGAATGAGTAATGTGGGAGCTGACAGAAGATGAGGTTGCTTGCAGAATTTTTTATTTTCTCGTGACACTAGAGTCACGTTGCTCCCTGATGAGAACTGCATGTTCCTGTCTAACTCTCCCATGTGTGCCTGAGTGATGTGGACCCAGGTGACAGGTGTGCTGTGAGGACGGGTGATGTTCTGAGTGTACTGTCGTCAGTAGGTGGTGTGACGAGGTAGAGTCAGAGGGAGAGGGGTATCGGCTAACAGTGTTGTTTGCAGCGGCTCTGTAGAGAGGGGCTGTTCCACCATCATAGTTGGTGACCCAGGAAGAGAAAGGTGAATTCCAGAGGAACAGCATGAAAGGCGGCTGTGCACCAGGTGGGAAGGGACATGAGGCTGTTAACACGCCCTGAAATAGAAACCATCACCACACTGTGGATACTACATACAATACAACGTTTGTTTTTAACCATTGCACAATAAATATTACACAAGGTGGAGGGAACAAAAAACAGAGTAACTGTGAGGCACACAGAGGAAACATGGGCAGGCTGAGCTTTGACTCAGATAAAGATGGAGTCAGTGAAAGGCAGGCCGTTACACTTCCAGGCCGGGAGTGTCTGTGGGTGCTGATCTCAGCTAGGTTGGTGGCCGCCACCCAGACTCTGAGAACGATTAAATCGAGTTAACTGCTTCAAAGAAAGGCTGATTAGCTCGATAATTTGAGAGCTCCAAACCCTTGCCTTGCACTCTAAAGTTGGTGACCTCCAACGCTCCCTTCCTACCTTAGGGTTTCACAGCGAGGGACCAGGGAGCACAATGCCGTATTCAAAAACACCCATCACAGTGCTTAACAAGATTGAATGTACATTTATTCTTGACATGTGGAACATAGAAAGATTTTATACTGAATAAATGATATTCATTAAGCCAGAGGAAAAGGAGGAATTTACATCAAGTTTTTTTTTTTTTAAACTACATTATCTTGAAATACAAATGTGGATTCTCATCACTGAAAAATCTTTGAAGTTGTGTTTCTTCCTTTTAGTTGTACTTCTCTTTTGTTGTCTGTCCTGGTAACCGTTTCCACACCTCGATCCATGAAGTCTGTAGTCACCGGCCACTCTCCCGGACCTGAGCGTGACTCCCTACATACA